CCAGCATCTTAGCTCGCTCAATGAAACCGCAAGAGGGAATAGCATTGGTAAATAAGGGGAAGGGGAAAATGCCGGATGAGAGCGAAGCAGTGAGGGTAGAGGTAAACACGTTGTATAGAAAGGTAAAAGGGGCAACGTCAGATAAAGGCAAAGCAGTGTGGCTAGAGTCGGAAGTGTTTAGCCCGCGAGGGAGCGATCCGTTGATCGAAGAGTCGGAAGCGACTACGTCGCAAACGAGCAAGGCAGTGATGGTACGGTCGGAATTAAGCACGCCTCAAGCGAGCAAATCGCCGTCGTATGAAGAACAGGATCCTGTACAGTATGGACCCACAGCTCTTACGATGTGGGATTTTTGCAGACAGCACCTGATTGAAAAAGGTTTCGAACCGGCCAAGTATGCATTTGAACTTCGTGACCAAGCAATGACGGATTTTGAAGTTGTCGGCGAAACTGTCGAAACGGCGATGCAGAAGTATAAGAACAATCCTGGATTTAGAATTGTGGATTTTTTGCTTGAATTTCTCCCGAGAAAAAGATGGTTTGGCGATAGTACACCAGGCCGTTGGCTCGACTATCAGCTCGACAATTTCTTCAAGGTCTTTGCTGCATTTGGTGAGTCCCCTGGAGAGACACTTTGTCATTATTTCGCAGATGCAGGCATGAAAGAAGAGTTATGGATCATACTTCGAAAGGCACCCCTTTTCATTAAGAGTATAGAGCCTGATTTGTTAAAGAACCTCGCAACCCGCGAACTGATGTTTCGATTCAACATAGAAAATGGTGTAACAGGAGAAGAGTTTTGGAAAGCCCTAGATAAAACTGAAGGTATGCCCAGGGACAAGATGAATGTCTACGTTGACTTTCTAGCATTCGCGTACTTCGCTATACCAGAGCGTTCTTACCTACATGCTACAATTGATAAAATCATTGACACTGGTGACGGGGAGATCCTTCATCAATTAATTTCCGCAATTCTAGAGGATTCGAAAATGCCTGAGGTAGGTCATCCGGAAGAATTAATGTCACTTGATGTGAAAGAGCCTGAGACTGCTGTCTTGAGAGCGCTTGCGTCAAAAGATGAAAAGAAAATCGTTTCCTATTGGATTTATTCGAAGCCTGAAAAATTTATGAAGATCTTTGAGGAGCAGCTGGGCAGTGACGACCAAGTGAGGCTTTTCCAAGGGGTTCTCAATGATAACGATCAAGTGAGATTGTTCAAAGCGGCTTTAAAGAACGACGATCAGGTAACGTTGCTCAAAGAGATTATGCAAGAACGGAGGTCGGTCGATGGAGTTGATACGCAAAGAATGGCAAAGTTTGAAGCGGGTCTCAAGGATGATAGACTGGTAGAGTTGTTCAGAGCTGCTCTCTCGAATGATCGCACAGCAAAGAATTTTCAAGTACTTC